TAGTTCTTTCTTGGTGCACTCGGAGTATAAGACTTATACTAACAATGCACTTATTGAATCTCCAAGTATGAAACTTTCATTTCATGTAAGCATAGGTTTAGTGATCTTTAAACAAAAGACCATGTGCCCTCAATCCCTCCTCCCTGCACCCCCCCCTTTTTCATTATAATTACCACAGAAAAGGGAGCTCCAGAAATATCAAGGGAGAAAAGAGTAAATGAAAGAGTAGATAAAACCCCAATGTCTATTCAACTATAAAACCCAGCAGAGCTAGAAATTGGGGAACAAGAATAGAATTTCTTAAGATAAGAAGTACAGAAACAGAGTGTGAAGATTTCTTTTAGTTTTAAATATACCAACCAAAGTTGAGCATTTATTTTTATTATATTAAAAGGGTACCTACTGGAACTTGGAAATATATACAGGTTGATCATGGAAAGTAGTGAGGGTGGTCCCATTTTTTTTTTTTCACTTAGATTGCAGACCCTGGGATATAATTGTATGAAAACACTTTCACATTTATTCCTTCCCCATTTTATTGCTATTACTCCCCTCTTTAAATTTTATAAGCCATTTCTACACAGATAATTGCAATAGCTTAGCAGATCAAGCAGCTTTTTAACTTTCCCCCCAAGAGAAAGGATATTCTTTACAAGTTACATTTTGTAATCAGAAACAGAGGGGAGAACCCAGCAAGGTTGTCTTATTGAAATTATATGTAGGCAGTATGAAAATCCTTGGCCATTCTTTCACTCTTAAAAACCAAATTACCTACCAAAGCAAAAAGAATTAGTAAAGATTAAGTATACTCCTTAAAAGTCCACTTTCTATTTTTTTCTGTCAACATTAAGAATTCCTTTTGGAAATATAATAATTATTGAGACAAAATTCAATAAAGCTATTTACAGTCCAGGGGAAATACAATTTTGTATTGAGGAGGTGAGTTACACATCAGATTAAGTCAGCACAGGCAGGTGACATTCAACATTTTTTTACTTCTTTCTTTTTCTCCCTTTATTAGACTTCCCTGGTTTTCTGCACTTAGTTTTACTAAGTTTCACTTTGCTTCACCAGCTTAGTAGGGTCTGGGCAGGCAGAACATATATGATGTCCTGAAAACACACTGCCCTATGTAAACAATTGTTTTTGGCAATTCGGAGGTTTCGTGGCAGGATTGCATCTTTTTCCCTCCTCAAAATGAAATGTTTTGGCCAAAGTTAGAACTGCATGTGCAGTTTTATGAACTGGCATATTCAAACGTTACAATTGTGTGTTTAAAAGGGGAATTTGATCTTTTTTTTCCTCTTTCTTCTTTGGAACTCCTTCTTTCCCCAGTTTCTTTGTTTTCTCTTTTACAGAACATTTTCATATCTTGGTATATCTATTCAGCATCTGTTTCTCCTCAATAACAATTCTCATTCAAAAATAATAACTCTCTGTCCTCTTTGGACATGTTTTGTTTTGTCCCCACCTATGGAGTTCACCAGCATGTGTTGAAGGTTAACAGCTCCATTTCTGGAATTCTCTTGGACCCGTTTTGGAGCAAAGTGCCAAAGTATATAAGGAGGGCTCAAATGTATCTGGACTCTGCCAAGTCCTTTGAGGAAGGCTCCACAGAGCTGCATCTTTGCCAGCTCCCTTCTCTTCTCACTGAGCCTGGCTTCTTCATGATTCCACACACGATCTTTTATCATTTGCTCATGTGAAAAAGGACCTTTGGATGAATAGAAGCAACAGAATCCTTATTTGCAACAACACTCCAACTTGCCCAATAACAGGTAGAAAATTGTTTCTTACTTTACTGAGTTTTCTGCTCTTCTACTTTCCATCCCACAGCACCCAGGGTCGTGAATGGTTCCATTGATCATTTTCTAATGGTCCCATCAATCATCAGCAATGGCCAAAGTTGCTCAAAGAGCTCTCCCACCATTCCTGTAATAGTAGAAAGAGTAGGTGAACGACAAAGGCCCTGTGGGGAATGGAAAAAGGGAGCCTTTTACAGTGTTTTGCTTGAGGGGCATTGGGTCACAGGGTCACTGCATTAACATCCTGTCTGTCCTCCGAGATGTGTTAAGCTGTTTGCTTCAGCTGTAACTTTCTGTTGCAAGAGACAGTAACTCAACCCAAAGTGGCTTAAGCAAAAAGCGATTTTAGTGGCTTGAATAACGAAAAGCTAAGAGTTGCAGCTGTCCCCTTATGTAGCTAAAATGTGGGGCTCAGGTGATGTGATAAAGCCACTGATTGCTCTCATTTTATAAATCTTTTAGTGTTGGCTCCTTCACAGGCAAGCTCTCCTTTCAGACTCACAATCTGGCTGCAGAAGCTTCAGAACTTACATCTCTGTTTCACATCCATAAGGAATCACTGCAGGCCGATATTTGATACTAGATGGGTTAGCCTCCTAAAACTGGCTTTCCAGTGGCTCTGGAAAGAGGAGCACTACTGGAGATCTGGCACTCCTGGGGATTAACGAACCCTGGAGCCATCCTACCTCAGGACTTGTGATCTGAAACAATAACTTATTCTTACTGATTAAACTATTTTATGTTAAGTTTTCTTGTTATAAGGGAAATTATCTTTTTAAAAAATATATTTTTATTGATTTCAGAGAGGAAGGGAGAGGGAAAGAGAGAGAAATAGAAATATCAATGAGAGAGAATCATTAATCAGCTGCTTCCTGCATGCCCCCATTGGGAGTCAAGTCCACAACCTGGGCATGTGCCCCTGACTGGACTAGAACTTGGCACCCTTCAGTCCACAGGCCAATGCTCTATCCACTGTGCCATACCAGCTAAGGCGGGAAATTATCTTTTTTACTCTTTTATATTTTAGCTTACATTTTCTTCTAGTTTCATTGTTTTCTCTTATTTGGTTCATTCAGCAGAAAGTATACTAATTGATAATTGTCATACCGGCTCAAATTGGGTCATATATCCATCCCTGACCAGTCATAATGGGAATGTGATGTGTGATTGGCCTCAGCCTCAATGCCCCAGCCCACTTCTGCAGTGGGATGAGTTTATACATCTGACTACATGGACTGAATATGGAGAAAGGGGAAGAATATCTACTGGGAAATGAGGATATGGTTTCCATTAAATAGTGAAATAGATACTGTGAAGCAAAAACATCATGTATCCAGTACTTTATCCTTTTGAATGTGCCTTCTATTACAGAGTGGCCTGAAATTGTCAGTATAGTAAATTAAGGAGTTGTGATTTGTTACTTGGACTGGTAGCCCAGAATATATAACTTTGAAGGTTTTAAATCAAAGGCAGAGCTGCTATGCTATTGAGTCATCTTGTTAGCCTATGAATCAATATGTTTCTTCAATTAGGGCCTCATATCTCCAGCTTTGGAACATCAGCCACCTCAAGGTGAGTGGCCCATAGGCAAGACGGACCAAGGCTGGGCTGCTTAAGAATCTAGTACCCTCAGAGGATATTGGAAAACCCAGGCAGCTGTTTAAGTGGCATGTGCCATCCCACAGGCCTGGTGTTTTTCTGGCCCCTTTCTCCCATACCCCTGAAATTCATTTGGTCTCATGGCTCTCAGACTCAGCCTGGGATGCAGAACAGTGGGGTCTCAGGTCAGGTTGTGTCTAGTGATTTCAATTGTGCTGTTGGCTGGAATTCCATCTGTCAAGCAGGTTTCACAGTCAGCCATTCGATAGCAGTAGGGTTAGCCCACGAACCTGGATTTCCTGCCTATCTGGAAACAGGAGCACCCCTGGAGATCTGACATGCTCCGAGAAAACTAGGAGCTAGTTTTAGCTATTCCTGGTTAGTCTCTGTTGGACCTAATGTATTCTAACACTTGAGGATATAAAACGCGCACGCGCGCGTGCACACACATACACACACACACACACACAGAATAATTTATTTATTTTTTATTGTGAACTTAAGTAACTTCATGGCAAGAGAATCTAATCAAGATTGAACTATTTACTTGTAAATAGTAATTTTCCACAGTAATTTTCTCTTTGTCACTTGACAGGCATGGATTTTTATTATAATAAGTGTGAGCATACTACTTTTTGTTTAAGAAAGATTTTCTTTATCTTGACATTCTGATTTGTTTTCATAGATGGAAAAAAGCCCCCACAAAGAACAACTCAGTGAGAAGGAGAAGGAATCATCCCTGGAGAGTTGGGAGGAATGCGTGGGGTCATACTCTCCCAGAGTTAAAGAAACCTTAAAGGACCCTGAGCCCTCCCCACATCTTTGATAACTGCCTTTCTAAACGAATTGTCACTGGAGCAGCTTTCCCAAGCAAGCAAGGACCTCTCCCCATCTCACGCCACACCCAGGGGGGCCCTTCCCTTACAAAGGAAAAGTGAAATGCATCCTTTGGGTGTGCGAGGGCCCACTTGTCTGCCATGGGCCTGTGCCTTTGCCCCCTGCTTTCCTGTGTTGTTAGGTTATCCCACTGGTTTCCCACGCAGGAAGGAAGCAGAAACGATGCCCCTCTGGGACAGTCCTCCATATCATTCCCTCTAGTTTTTGGGGTTTTTTTTGTGTGTGTTTTTTTAAGTGCAATCACACACCAATAGTTTCTAATCTATCAAAACATTAAGCTAAGGAAGTAGCGAAGTTAGGTTTAATTAAAACCACAGTTATTTGTACAGCTGTCCCCGTGCTCATGGCTTGTGAAAGGGTTTAGCTTCACTCCTTTGGGAGTTTCACTCAAAATCCTTCATGCTCCACCAAGGCAGCGCCTACCCGCTCCGCCAGTCACTTCAGGAGCCTGGAGGGCTTGCCCTGATGCCATTCCGTGGTCAGGCTCTCCAGGCACCTGCTGCGTGGGGCAGCGCAGAGCACTGCAGGACTGTGGGACACACAGTCACTTTCTTTTGTTTGGGGGCTAGACGTCTTTAAGGATACTTCAAGAAATTCCTGAAAATTCTCCTAGGGCGAGGGACTTTTATGTCCCTCCCAACCCCAGCCCCAGAGCCTTACTGGACATTGGCAAGCATCTTCCAAAGGACATGGGGGTGGGGCAATGCTGCAGACATGTATGCACACAGCGGCACGTTTCCCCCGCAGGACCCCAGGGAGGACGAGGAATCAGAGCTCAGCATCTGGCTGATTTTCAAGTGCACGTGAAGCAGCCTGAATCAGAACAAGGCGACTTGGACCTGAAGCAAATGCACGGGCCAGCGCAGACCACTGACCGCGGGCCAGGGTTGGGGCCTGGAGCCGCGGGTCAGGGACTGTGACCCAGGCGACCTCCAACACCCATCGCTGCTCCACCTGCCCGCGGAGCGCACAGAGCCAGTCCAGGAGACCATGGCCTGCTCCGCGCCCTTCCTGGCCTCCATCAGCCACCAGACGTTGGCTTTGCAGACCCTGCAGCTTCTGCAGCAGGAGTGGGGCTGGCGGGACGGTCCGGGCGCCCATGGAAATTCGCGCGACTCGGACCACGTGTCCGCCGCCCCAGCGCTGCGCTCAGGCCCCCGGCGCTCCCGGGCGGGGCTGGGGCTGGGGGAAGGACCGCAGGGGGCCGGGGGTGGAGGAACGGGGGACTCCAGGGACAGGCGAGCTCCCCCGAGGTAGAGGTAGTGCCAGGCGCAGAGAGGGGCAAGGAACTGCTGCCCTGCCCCCGGGGCCGCGGGCCGTGCACCCTGGCCCGGGTGGCGATGCACAGCGCACTGGCCCGCGTGGTGGACTCCACCTCAGAGCTGGTCAGCGTGGAGAGGACGCTGCTGAGCCCCCTGCAGCAGGAGCGATCCTTCCCCATCCACCTGAAGGTGAGTCTGGCCTCCAGCACCGGCATCGGGGCCGGATTCCCCTGCTGGCTGGGGTTGGAGGACGCAGATGGAGACTGGGTGGGGTCCCAGGATCCCAAGCTGAGCTGCTCACTGCACCAGGGAGAGGGACGGGTGGGGCTGGGAGGAGGACTCTGCACTTGTGGCAGGGAACTCGGAGTGGAGGGCGAGGGGTGGGTGCGGATTATGGAGCAGAGAAGCGGGAGAGGGCTTTCCAAAGGTCTCTGGAACTCCTTCCTCTTACAACGAAGTATTATACATCAGCTTCCTGCTCCAGCTGAAGGCCCTTTCCACAGGCATGTGGGACAGCTCCCCTGCTCTCTCTTCCAACTTAATAACCCTTCTTCCAGGGCCATGAATACACGTGTTACGTCCCCACTGCCTTCTGTATGACAAAGTCACCTACATTAATTTAAAGTCCTTTGAAACAGTTGTTTTTGCATACATAGAGTTTCCCACAGAGCTCAGGGACCACCTCACAGAGTCTACATTCTCATAAGGTAAGTTAAGAGTGGGCTAGATCCCCAGTGTTGAAGCGTGAATTGTATATATTTTTTATCATATATTTTATTTTTTTATGTTTGTTTTTATTGATTTCAGAGAGGAAGGGAGAGGAAGAGAGAGATAGAAACATCAATGATGAGAGGGAATCATTGATTAGCTGCCTCTTGCACGTTGGACTGAGCCTGCAATGTACACTTGACCAGAATCGAACCTGGGATGCTTTGGTCAGCAGGCCAACACTATCCTCTGAGCAAAATTGTCTAGGGCAAAGCATGAATTCTAATGCTAACCTCCCGCTAAGTCATGCACCTCATATTTGTAGAGTGCATTTTCTTCTTAAGATTCCCAACTGTCAGGAAACAGAGTAGCTAGCTCCCAGGCTGGGAAGGATCCTGGAAATCCAGTGTCTGGGTTAAGTGATGGTCTTGATATTAATTATCCTAACTGATGGTTTAGGGTCACAGCCTCTGTGAGACCTGTCTTTCTCCAGTTCTGACTTGGAGCTTCGCATCATGCCTTTCCCTTGGGAGTCTAGCAGAAGGAGCGGGGAAGGGGTGACGAAGAAAGCTCAGAGCACTTCTCAAGAATTGCTTATTCGTGCTTTACAAGCCATGGTTTGGAAAAAAATTGCTACATATTAGATTGCATATCCACTATAAAAGACTGATTTAAAAATCAAACATAATAAAGCATATCACACTCCCAACTATGCATTATTACTCTACATTAGGGTTTCTCAGTCTCTGCTTTATTGATATTTTGTGCTGGACAAATGTTGTGGGGGTTTGTCCTGTGCCTCTATCCAGTAGATGCCAGGGCATTCCTCCCTGTCTCCCTACCTCTCCCCCCCTCCTTGAGTTGATAAAATCAAATATTGCCAAATGTGTATGCATGAGAGGGAAAGCTGGAATGCCTCCAGATGTGAAGCACTGCTCCATTCACCTTAGAAAATTAAAAAATGAAGCTACATTTCACCAATGCTCTTGAGTTAAAATGCACCTTTTTAAAAACATTATAAACTGACAAACCAAAAGATAGATATAAAGACAGTAAAGCAACAAGCAGACTGTAAAATTACACCAGGGAGAGTAGGGAGATCTGGGGGAGATAAGAGATCAACCGAAGGACTTGTATACATGCATATAAGTACAACTAATGGACACAAAACTCTGGGGAGGGAGGGTATGTGGGGAGGGCAATGTTAAAATATGTACACAGATAATAATTTAATAAATAAAAATTAAAAAAATAAATAAAATGCACCTTTTTATGTACTTCCAAGAAATAAAAAAATCCTGCCAATTATTTTATGATAGACCTTTGGTTGTAAGATAGTCTCATTCTAGAGATTTTTTTGAAATGTGAAAAAATGTACATCTTAGAATTGATGAAATAGGAAATATTGTATGATATTGGGAGCATATACAAGACATACAGGCTGGCAAAAGGAGAGTCTGAGTGATCAGTTTTACCTAAGGTGATCCTGGCAGGTTTCTTGTAGGAGGTAACCTTTTAAAAGAGTGAATTTTTGCTCTCCAGGCATTAAAGGGAAAACACATTATAAGGAAACTATGATCTAAGACTCAGAAGCAATGCAAGGGTCTGGGTTGTTTAATTCACCAATTCCAGGTGGATGTTGCTCGATTCAGCTGTTTCTTCTGTCTGCTCCGTGAGAAGGCGCTGGACTCATCCGCCTATTTGGCCACCATTTTGTCTCCCCTTGGACAAACGTTTTAGAGCCTGTGGCAGGGAAGCTGGAGTCTTGGTGTTCATGGGTTCAAAGCCGAGGCAATTGGTCCCTGGCCAACGTAGCTGTAGGATCCCGGGTGGTGTCCAAGGTCTCTTCAGGTGGTGGTGAAGCTGTGCTCCCATCACAGTGCTCTCCCTTTCAAGATGGCGTCTTTACTCTTTTCTCAAAGACACCAATAATTTTTATTCCTTTTGAACATTTAGAGTTTATCAATCATATGAAAAGAAAAAACAAACAAACATGAAATGAGTTTCTTCGGGGTGGATAAAAAGTGCTTAGTAGTTATGAGTCTTGTTAAATTTGGTGGAGAAGTTGGCCAGTTTGACAAACTTTTTTTTTTTTTTTATAGCAGGAAACTGAGGCTCAGAGAAATGTAAAACTTTGCTGAAGATCCTGTTTCTGGGAAGCGATGGCTTATGATTCAAACATGTTTTTATTGATTTTAGAAAGAGAAGAAGGGAGAGGGATAGAGAGAAACATCAATGAGAGAGAAACATCAATCGGCTGCCTCCTGCATGCCCCCTATAAGGGATCAAATCCACAACCCAGGCATGTGCTCTGATGGGATAGAACTGGAGATCTCTTGGTTATGGATTGACAATCAACCACTGATCCACACCAGCCAGGGCCAAACATGGTTTTATGTGACTCTACCAAATCACACTGCTAGCTTAAAGGGGTATTAGAAACATCACATTGAAATAAAGTATGTGAGAGTGTGTGGTTGACAGGGCACAGTCATGCATGCCGTGCACTGAACGCCACTTGGAGTGTAACAGTCACATTATAGACTCTTAGCTCTGGCTGACATGACAAAATGCCACAGACTGGGTGGCTTAAACCTCAAACATTTATTTTCTCACTATTCTGGAGGCTGGGAAGTCCAAGATCAAGCAAGGTGGTAGTAAATTTGGTTTCTGGTGACGGCTCTCTTCCTGGCTTGTAGATGGCTACTTTCTCACTGTGTCCTCACATGGCCTTTCCTCTGTGCATGTGGAAAGAAAGAGATCTCAGATGTAGATTATAGTCATAGGACTTTATGATTCGTATGATTCGTGCATTCTTCGAAGCGAGTGTGACCGGCACCGTATCTCACTGCTCTCTCTACTCTCAATCTCGACCTATCATGTCTTCTCCTCTCTCTACCCTCTCAGCTCGTCCTCTTCCTCGTCTCCTCGGCTCTCTCCTCCTCTCCTTCTCTCCTCTCTGCCTTCTTCCTCTCTCCTTTATCTCCCTCTCTCCTCTCTCTCTCCTCTCCTCTCCCTCTCCTCTCCTCTCCTCTCCTCTCCTCTCCCTCTCCTCTCTCTCTTCTCTCTCTCTCTCTCTCTCTCTCTCTCTCTCTCTCTCTCTCTCTCTTAATCCTCACTCGAGGATATTTTTTTCATTGATTTTTAGACAGAGTGTAAGGGAGAAGAAAGACACAGAGAGAAACAATGATGTGAGAGAGACACATCAATTGGTTGCTTCCTTCACGTGCCCTGACCTGGGCTGGGAGTTGAGCCTGCAAAGAGACACATGCCCTTCACCAGAATCAAGCCTGAGACCCTTCAGTCTGTGTACGGATGCTCCGATTACTGAGCCGAACCAGCTAGGGCTCTTCTTCTTAAACACCAGTCCTGTTGGATCTGGGGCTCACTCTCTTACATAATTTAACCTAATTACCTCTCTGCAAAATATTGTCACAAGGGGGTTAGGTTTTTAATATATGCATTTTGAGGGCAGGGCAAGACAGGAGGAGGTTGGGAGACAAAATTCAGTCCATAACACTGGGTGATTTGTGCGCCTCCTTCCATGATGGTGACTTTACATAGTGACAAAAAATACCAGGCAAATGTGGGAAATCATTGTCAGACCAGTAATACTAGCAGGAATGCTTTAGGCACCTGCAACCTAAAGAGAGCATAGAAATGTGTGGGACACCAGAAGGAAAGTTAGGATTTAAAAACTCCCCAAAATGACCAACTCACATAGAGACTATTAAACAGCCAATTATGAAGTCACTGATTGAGTTTTGTCTGTCTTCCTTTGAGAGTTAAAAATATTTATAGTTGCCAAGAGTTCTTTCTGTTCTGAAGCAAGTTTCATGGAAACTATGGCTGTTGCCAACTTTCAGAGGCAAAATAACTTTCCTGACATTGCAGATTTAACTTGCCTGTGAGTTCTCCGTTTCTTGTAGCTAATTTTGGTACCAATCATTCCATCACGTTTAGTAGTCTTCACTGTTTTTTCATTCTACAAAGCAAAGCCATTGGCTTTGGTTGCACAGTCATTGTTGTAATGCTCTTTTATTAGTGGAGCCAGTTTCTGCAAATTTGAAAACTGTGTCTTCAAAATTATGCACATACTTTTGAAGGAAAAAAAAATGCTTATGGTCATATGATTAATAGCCAAAGCCAGGAGGTTGCTATTGATTTGAGACAAAATTATGCTTATATGTTTTAGAAACAGGCCCAGTGACTGCCATCGAAGTAGTTTAATCATAGTTTGTAATTTCTTATGTGAATGATATGAGAATCAGGACATATAAACTTTCTGAAATTAAAATTTTGCAAAGAACATTGCAAAAAGGCCCTAAAACAAAGCTACTTATGTTTAACATCTTGGTGCAAATGCTGCCATGCTCTGTCTTACAGTTTGGGGTTTGCCTTGTGAGCATACCTGAATCCAGTACCTGTAGCCATCACAACATGTTTTTCACAGACTTTTCTAATGGAAATGATGACGTGCC